TGGGCGGAGCTGTGTCGGCGTCGGCTGTGGGCGGAGCTGTGTCGGCGGCGGCAGTAGCGGTGAGGGTGGTCGCGACTTCAGTGTCGGTGTCGACTACTGCTGGTTAATTTGACTAGTTTGATTCAGCCTCTGGGTCTGCTGAAGAGACATCATAAGACTGTATCCAGAGATCTTCCCCCAGAATTGCTTTTCTGATCCTCGTTTTACTTGATCCGTCCAGTTTAATGTTGATTTTAATATTGGATAAACTCAATGTTCAAGCCAGCATTGTTGCCTTACACTTTAGTTTTTAAGTTATGTTCTGTCCTCCTGTGGAATGTTTATTTGAGAATTTTCAATCAGTGGTAGTGTGCTTTCTAATGGCAATATCACACATGCATTTGTTTTAAAAGCCACAAAGCTGTAAAAGAGAATTTTTTCAAAAGTATGCTCATCAAGAATTAGTGCTGTCTCTGCAAAATACATGAACTATTGTGGATGGGATAGAATAAATTATTGTAAGATTTCTTATGATGGATCTAAAGGTTTTGCTATTTCTTAAATTTTACATATTTCTGAACTTTAGGATGTCACCATCACTAATGATGGAGCAACAATTCTCAAGCTGCTTGAAGTGGAACACCCAGCTGCCAAGGTGCTATGTGAATTAGCTGACCTGCAAGACAAGGAAGTGGGGGATGGTACAACATCAGTTGTAAGTCGATTTGTCATCTGCCCTGCTTTGTGTGTTTTTTTTTTAACAAATGCTAGTGAGAAATATCTGTGGATTGACCTGCGTTGTTCTACAGTACAAATTTTAAAAAAACATTAACTGTGGGATGAGTATTTCTGGTTGGTCAGCTTTTAATGCCTGTACTTAGTTGCCCTTGAAAGAGATGGTGAGCTGCCTTCTTTAACTGCTGCAGTTCACATGCTGTAGGTAGACCTGCAATGCTGCTCACTTAATTATTTTAAGTCTTGTGCTGAATGGGGAAAAATGGACTATGTGAGCATTATTCCTGTTTAGAATTAATTCCACGCGGGTGGATCAGAAACAATTGTCCGCGTGAAACCGGGGTGGTGGTGGTGCGGGGGGTGAGAGGGAGGGAGGAGGAGGACAGTATTTTGAGATCCAAAGACTTAGAAAGTGAACCATCAGTGTATGGAGAAATTATTTTTCTGTATCCCGTTGATTCCAAGTTGACAGCATTGTATTATGCTTTGTTATTCATGAATGCTACGCTTTACGTATAAGTGCTGAAGTTTATTGACTGGAAATTGAATTAACCACTAATTTTAATTTTAGCGAATTTCAAATTGATACTTTAAAAGTTGGATTTTCAGAACTAAAAATGTAACTTTGCATAATCTGTAATATTTAAATTTCTTCAAATTGTTCAATGATTTGATTTTGTGTATGAATTAAAAAGATATTGTTGCCTGTTTTTAATTCATTGTTTTTTGTTATTTTGTGCATGCTAGATTAACAAACCTATCTGTCAGCTTTCAAAATGCATTCTGGATGGGATGACTAATTAATACTGGACAGATTGTGTTCCTTTATCCTTAATGCAGGTTATTATTGCTGCTGAACTACTTAAGGGTGCAGATGAATTGGTTAAACAGAAAATTCATCCAACCTCTATCATTGGTGGTTATCGCCTTGCCTGCAAGTAAGTTCAGAAAAAATATTCAATAAGTCAAGTGTATGCAAGTTGTACAATTACTTGAACTTCACAGATGTGTGGTAGATTTAAAGTTATACTAATTTCTCTGGCATGAAATAGTTAGCTGTATGTCCAGTTGAAGTTTGCTGTTGAAATTGTTTTTTTTTCAGGTGTATTAAAACTTGTCAAAACTTGAAGTACTGAATTAGTATTTGTAGCATTTTATTAAGTACAAGGGTCGGTCACTGTCATTAGTGCAGGACACAACTATAGGTGCAAAGAATAGGACAGAATGTATGTTGAAGTAGTTGTTAGATTAAGTCCAGTTTGGAACAAGCAAGTGGGAAGAGTTTGTTTGCAACAATTATTTAGTACAGGTGGAAATGTTTAAATAAAAGTCTGTCAATCACTTCTGAATTGAACTAGAACTTAAGTGAATTTGCTGTGCATGAATATGATGGAAATTGTCATCAACAGTGCTATCAACCAGCACTTGCTTTGAAGTAACCTGCTCACTGATCTCAATTTGGGTTTTGTCGCAGCCATTCGGCTCCTAACCTCATTACAGCCTTGGTTTAAACATGAACAAAACAGCTACATCCTAGAGGTAAGAGTGACTGCCCTTGACATCAAGAACACATTTGACCAAGGGTGACTTCACCCCAGCAAAATTCAAGTCAGTGGGAATCGGGAGAAAATGTCTGCTGGTTGAAATCGCGCCTGGCACAAAGGAAGATGGTTGCGGTTATTGGATGTTAGTCATCTTGGCTCTGGGGCATTTTGCATGAGTTCCTTAGAATAGATATTCTTAGCAACCTGTCCAAGAATGTTATGACACACCTCTGGAGCAGATAGGACTTGAAAGGCCTTCTGACTCAAAGGTAGTGAGTCCTAGGCCCAATCAACAGGGAATATAGCCACAGACCCATGGCATTAAATCATGGAATCCCTACTGTGTGGAAGCAGTCCACTTGACCCAATGAGTCCAGACTGACCCTCTGAAGACCAGCCCATCCACTACTCTATCCCTGTAACCCTGCATTTCCCATTGCCAATCTATCTAGCCTGCACAACTTTGGACTGTGGGAGGAAACCGGACCACCTGGAGGAAACCCACACAGACTAGGAGAATGCGCAGACTCTACACATAATTGCCCAAGGGTGGAATCGAACCTGGATCCTTGGTGTTATGAGGCAGCAGTGCTAACCACAGAGCCACCATGCTTGCCCTAATGCTATCAATGGCATTGCTGTCAGTGAATTCCCTACTATCAATATCCTGGGTGGGGGGTCATCACTGACCAGAGCTGAAGTGGACTAGCCATGTAAATAGTGTGGCCGCAATAGTGGGTCAGAAGCTAGGAATCCTGCAGTGAAGAACACCATCTGACTACCCAAAACGGTCTGCTGTCTGCAAGATATCATGAATATGATGGAATACTCCCCAGTTGTGTGAATGATTGCAGCATAATACTCAAGAAACTTGACATCATCCAGGAGGAAACAAACCCTTGATTTTCTCCACATCCACAAACATTTACTCCCTCTGCCACCAACGTTCATTAACAACGGTCAGTACTATCTATAAAATGCACTACAAAAATTCTCCAAGGTTCGTTAGACAGCATCTCCAAACCCACGACCACTATGATTGAGAAGGATTAGGGTACAAGATACAAGGGAACACAATCACCTGTAATTTCACATCCAAGCTGTCCTGACTTGAGAATGTATTTCTGCTTCTTCAATGCAGTGGGGTTATAATCCTTGAAGCCGCTGCCTAACAGTAATAAATTCTACCCCAGCTACCAGTGATATCCACATTGCGTGAGTGAATTTAACGAAAAGTATTTTAAGAGAGTCTTAGAGTTTTAAAAAGTCATTAGAGTATGACCATAACTTTAAAGAATGTGTGTACTTTTGGAGGAACTGAGAATGTTTATACTGTGAGTTTCTTTAAGAATAGTTATGAGATCTGAATGCATACTCACAAGTTGCCTATTTGCTCTACCACGTGGGAAATGTTAGATGTTTGATGCTATAGAGGTCATGTTATCATAGCCAAGACATCTTTCAGTCTTTTTCAGAAATTCAAGGTTGACACTTAATTATTCCTCCATGGTACAAATGTGAACACCACTACTTTTTCTTTTACAGTAATATTGTACACATGAACTCAATTAATAAGCACAATTCCTCCAATCAGTGTTATTAATGGGAACACTTTGCCCCCCTTATAAACTTGCTAATTTAAAAGAATTGTAGAACAGTAGTTACTACAGCTGCAGTCTTAATATTTAAATTCTAAGGAAAGAAGTGAGTATTTATTTTCTTTAAAAGGAAAAAAAATTCTGTAGAAATTGCTTTTTTGCCCAGGGTTAGATTTGATGAATTGATTAACTTTTCCAAGAACCCACATTGTTTGACTAGCTTGACTTTGTTTCTTGGCTTGCTAGTTATTGCTTGTGGGGAGAAAAATATAGTCACAGCAATGTACTGAATTTGTTTCTGTACAAATAAAATGACTGCACAGAAGTATGAATATTGTTTTCATGTTGCTGTTGATGTATTCTTGCTTTTATCCTCCTTTTAACAGCTACATTAAGTAATTAGAGTTGTCTTGCTGTGAATTAAGTTAGATGCAGAACGAGAAATACTAGGTCCTGAGCCCACCTAGATGACACTTTCACCAGAGGTAGTAGGAGATAACACGGTGTGGAGCTGGATGACCACAGCAGGCCAGGCAGTATCAGAGGAGTTTTGGGTCTGGACCCTTCTTCAGAAATGGGGAGGGGAAGGGGGCTGTGAAATAGAGAGAGAGAGAGGGGGAGGCGATGATAGAAGGTGGATAGAGGAGCAAATAGGTGGAGAGAAGACGGGCGGGGATGAGGCTAGTAGGTAGGAAGTGGGGGTGGGTGTTGGTCAGTGAGGTGGGAGGAGTGGATAGGTGGGAGAAAAGATGGACAGATCAAGGAGGCAGGGACGAGCGGGGCTGTTCTTGGGATAAGGTTGGGGGTGGGGAGATGTTGAAGCTTGTAAAGTCCACATTGAGACCATTGGGCTGCAGGGTTCCCAGGCGGAATATGAGGTGCTGTTCCTCCAGCCTTTGGGTGGCATCGTTGTGGCACTGGAGGAGGCCCAGGATGGACATGTCATCCAAGGAGGGGGAGTTGGAGTGATTTGCGACTGGGAGGTATTGTTGTTTGTCACGAGCTGAGCGTATTTGCTCCACAAAGCGGTCTCCAAGCCTCCGCTTGGTTTCCCCGATGTAGAGGGGGCCACGTTGGGAACAGTGGATACAATATACCACATTAGTGGATGTGCTAGTTAATGTGGAAGGTTTTCTTGGGGCCTGGGATGGAGGTGGGGGTGTGGGGTGTAGGGGCAGGTGTAGCGCCTCCTGCAGTTGCAGGGAAAAGTGCCGGTGGTGGTGCTAGTGGAGAGTGTGGAGCAGACAAGGGAGTCATTTTCACCATGTTTATTTGCAGCAGTTTGGGTATAAGATGAAGTTGCTTTAACCATTCAAATGAAGAGAGGAATATCTGTTTTATGGTGGTCTGATGTCAAAGGAAGACCACTTGTAACTTAATTTTTAATTTTTTCATGTTATATCCAAGAACGTGAACATTGGTTTTAGTTAGATGGTTGTATTAATGCTCTATATTTTTCTCTTGTAAAAGGTTCAACCATAAATGTTGTTAAATAAAGACAATGTAGTGTAAATATATTCCTTTTTATTAACAGGGAGGCAGTCCGTTACATTCAGGAGAACCTGACCATTAATATGGATGAACTAGGCAGAGAGTGTCTTGTCAATGCTGCTAAAACATCCATGTCATCAAAAATAATTGGAGTGTATCTTTTGAACAGAAACATGGGGTGCATTTGGTTTGTTGGAAGGATAAATTCAACGTGTGATTTTCTTATCCTTGTACTCTAGTCGGCATTCCAAATAGATTAATTGAGAATGAGATATTTACATCTTGGCAAGAAGTATGACTGTGTATTTTTTTAAAATGTTAAGCTGGTAACACTAGTTTAGCACTTCGGTTTGGACTTGATGGGCCAAATGGCTTGCTTCCACACTGGTGGAATTCTGTGTTAATATAGTTTGGTAAATCCTTTTGCTTAAGGTACATTGTGCTACAAAGTATCGTTATTACCTTGAGATTTATGATATTTTGTTGCTGTTCTGTTGCCGTTTGTCTTGAAATAATGATCAGCAAAGGTTTCTTATATCTTGTTAACTAACAAATTTGATTTGGATGTAGATTATTCCAATTAGTTTTTTATTTTTGTGCATTTGAGATGGATGTCACTGAATTTTATGAATGAGTGGGAATTTATCTGCAAGCATTTCCATCTGACTAGGGTTCCAAGTTGACGACAGATTTAGAGGCATAGTGTACTCAGTGTAACGTAGCCTCTTACCCATGAGAAGAATGTTTAAAAACTCATACTTTAAGTAATTCTCAGTCAATTTTTAAACTTCAACAATTCTTATTAACCTTGACTTGAATTGCACAGTGATGCAGATTTCTTTGCCAACATGGTGGTAGATGCTGCTCATGCAGTGAAATTCACAGATGCTAAAGGCCAGGCACGCTATCCAATCAAGGCGATAAATTTGCTTAAGGCTCATGGACGGAGCCAGAGAGAGAGTCTTTTGGTGAATGGCTATGCACTTAATTGTACTGTTGGTTCACAAGGTAAATGTCCGTTCTAAATGGTGAAATTGAGGCATTTTTAAATGCCAACTATAACACCACTAGAGTGTTATGGAGTAAAGTGACCTCCGTGTGTCAGCAAATAGTGCATGACTTCTCAGCAAGTGAATGTTCTGCGCAGTCGACTTGGAACCTTTACAGACCACAGGAATCTGAACTCTGCTGCTATACCTGCTAGTGCAGAAATGCAAGGTGTAATACTTGCAAGGTTATTACTTACAAACTTTGTGTAAGATCAATTCCACTTATTTACAACAGTGATCTCTGTGATCAGAGGAGCAGGAAAGCTGACGTTTCGGATCGGGACCCTTCATAAGAAGGGTCCCGACCGGAAACGTCAGCTTTCCTGCTCGTCTGATGCTGCCTAGCCTGCTGTGTTTCTCCGGCTCCATACTGTGTCATCTGTGACTCCAGCATCGGCAGTTCTTAATATCTCTCTGGCTAATGTTGTAAGTTTGTTTAAGAAAGGTTGTAAGGAGAAATCGGGGAACTATAGACCTGTGAGTCTGACTTCAGTTGTGGGTAAATTGTTGAAAGTGATTGTAAAAGATAGGATTTATGGACATTTGAAGAGGCAAAAATTGATTAGGGATAATGAGGAAAATTGTGTCTTGCAAACTTGATAGAGTTTTTTTGAGGAAGTTACCAAAAAGTTTGGCAATTGCAGAGCAGTAGATATTTATTTGGATTTCAGGAAAGCCTTTGACAAGGTTCTGCATGGTAGACTAATTACCTAGTAAAATTAGGTTACATGGGATTCAGTGTGAGCTTGCCATTTGGACATATGGCTTAGTGGCAGGAGACAGTGTTAGTGGAAGGTTGCTTTTTGGGCTGGAGACCTGTGATCAGCAGTGTTCCACAGGGATCGGTTCTGCATTCTCTTTTGGTACTTATGTAAATGATTTGGATGAGGATATAAAAGGCATCATTAGTAAGTTTCAGATGACACCAAATTTGGTGGCAATTGACAATGAAGAAGTTTTCTAAGATTACAAAGGGATCTTGATCAAATGGGTCAATGGGCTGAAGAATTGTAGGTGGACTTCAGTCTAGATAAATGCGAGGTATTGCATTTTGGTGCAACAGGCAAGAGTAGGGCTTATATAATTAATGGTGGGGCCTTGGATAGTGTTGTAGAACACGGACCTAGGTGTGCAGGTACATAATTCTTTGAAGTTTCTGTCACAGACAGGATGATTAAAAAGGCATTGGCACACTTGCCTTCATTGTTCAGTCCTTTTGAGTGTGCAAGTTAGGAAGTCCTGTTGAGGTTGCACAAGACAGTGGTGAGGCCTCTTCTTGGAATACTGTGTCCAGTTCTGGTCACCCAGTTATAGGAAGGATATTATCAAGCTGGAGAGGGTTCAGAAGAGATTTACCAGGATGTTGCTGAGTATGGAAGGTTTGAGTTATAAAGATAGGCTGGGACCTTTTTCACTGGAGTGTAGGAGGTTGAGAGGTGACCTGATAAAATAATGAGGGGTATAGATGGAGCTCATAGTAGTTGTCTTTTCCCTAGGATGGAGGATTTCAAGTCTAGGGGGCCCATTTTTAAGGTGAGAGGAAAGAGGTCTAAGACACGAGGTGCAAGTTTTTTTAGACGGTTCGTATGTGGAATGAACTTCCTGAGGAAGTGATAGATGTGGGTATAATTACAACTTTTAAAAGACATTTGGATAAGCATATGAATAGGAAAGGTTTGGAGAGATATGGGCTAGGAGCAGGCAGGTGTTTAGTTTGGAATTATGCTTGGCATGGACTGGTTGGACCGAAGGGTCTGATTCCGTGCTGTATGACTCTGACTGTGTGTCCCACAAATGTCTTTACTCTAACACAGAAGATGAACACAGTATGTAATGTAGACATAGTGCAAAATTGCAAAGTTTTGCTATAGTTTAAGTGAGGAAGCATTTCAATGCAGATAATTAAGGTTATCCATTTTGGAAGAATAAAGAATGGATTTAAGTATCTATTGGTTAAATGCTGCAACAGTGAATGTAAGTATTTTGGACTTTGTGTGTATCAATCTGTAAAATATGGTTGCATGTCCAAAACCCAGATGGAATGCTACTGGACTAGAGATCTCCAGTATAATAGGGAACAGGTGCTGCTAACGGTTTAAAAGGTGTACACACAACCCTTGTTACAGATCAACACCTGGGGTTGTATATGTAGTTCTGAGCACTGCCATTGGAAAGGGTACGTTGTCGTTGGGGAAGGAATTCAGGGCAGAATCACATGAATAGGCTGTTGGAACTAAGCAGTCCAAGCTTCGGCAGTAACACAGAAGATTGAACTGGAGGTGAACTGCGGCAGTGTGGGCTTAATTCACGGGTGGAGCTCTGGAATTGATATCACGATTCAAAAAGTGACTCTGGTTTGGCTGTTCAGGAACCAGGTCTAGAAACTGAGCAGATGCTGTCTGGGGAGAGATACTTTTCGTATTTGTAGACTGCTAGGAATAGAGAAAGAGAGACCTGAATTTGGTGATGAGTTGATAAGGTTGAATAATCAGTTCCTGGATTATTTTCTGTAGTTGGTAAGGTTTGAAATGGCAGGAGAACTTGGCTTTGTGGAATGCTCCTCATGCAATGTGGGAAATCAAGGACACTTCCTTGCACTGTGTCTGGAGCTGCAGATGGACTCGCTATGGAACATCTATGAGCCAAATGTGTGTCATGCATAGCACTTTTAGAGTGCTGGTCACACCAACAGCAAGGGCTGTACACTTGAGTTGGGTAACCACAGAGAAGAGGTGTAAGCATGGGAAGGCAGTGGCCCTGTGGCCAGTCCCCTACAAGCAGGTATACCATTTTGGATACTAGGGAGTTTGACTCTCAGGGGAAAGCTGCAGTGGAAGCACAGCTGGCACTGTTGTACAGCAGAAAGGATCGAAGTGTAGGTGAGCAGTAGTGATAGGGGACTCTAGTCAGGGGCGCAGATGGGCATTTCTGTGGCTGCACATGAGGCTTCAGGATGGTGTTGTCTCCTTGCTTCCAAGGTAAAGGATGTCTCTGAAGGGGGAGGATGAGCCAGAGGTTGTGATCCATATTGGTACCAGCAACATAGAGAGAGGTGAGGCCCTGCAAAGGGAATTGGGTAGGAAGTTGAAAAGCAGGACCTCTAGGGTTGTGATCTCGGGATTATTTCTTGTGCCACTGAGGCTTAGGAATAGGAAGATAATACAGTTAGGCACATGGCTAAAGAGCTGATGCAGGAGAGAGGGTTTAAGGTATGTAGAGCATGGGATGTCGTCTGGGGATGTGGGACCTCTACAAGAAAGATGGGTTGCACCTAAACAGGAAGGGCACCCCAAAATCCTGGCAGGGATGTTTGATAGTGCCATTTGGGAGGGTTTAAACTAGTATGACAGGGGGCTGGGAACTAGACCAGTAGGTCAGCAAGTAAAATGACCAAGGAGCAAGCAGACTACGAGAAAGAAGGCAGGACTGGTGGTGTGAGGTGTATTTGCTTTAATGTAAGGAGTATGACAGATAAGGCAGACGAATTTCGAGATTGGATTAATACACATAACTACGATGTGACTGTTACGGAGACTTGGTTGAGGGGGGTTCGGAACTGGAAGCTTAATGTTCGCGGGTGGAGATCTTTTGGGAAAGATAGAGATGGATGTAAGAGAGTTGGGGAGTAGTCCTGTTACTAATTAAGGGAAAATATCACAGCTGTACTGAGGGAGAACAGGATTGGGAAGGGTTTTTAAGGTCTTAGTGAAAATTTGTAGCTTGGGTTGAGGATGCATTTGTTCGTTAGCTTGCTGATCTGTTTGTTCTGTGGTGTGCAGATGTTTTGTTACCCTTCTCGGCAACATCAGTGCGACCTCTAATTGAAGCATTGATGTTTTGCTTCCTTCTGGACTTATATGATCCTCTGGTGTAAAGGTCTTGTCGCTTCGGATTCTGTTGTTTTTGTGGCAGTCTGTATACGGGGTCTATTTCTGTGTTTGTTAATTGAGTCCCGTGTTGAGAACCAGGCTTCCAAGAATTCCTTTGCGTGTTTGCTGTTCACTTGTCCGAGTATGGTCACTGTCCCGGTCAAACTTGATGGTCCTCATTGTCTCTGTGTATTGAGACAAATGAATATTGGTCATGTCTTTTTACTGTGAGCTGGCCTTTGTGTATTCCGGTTGTCTGTTTCCTCCCTGTTTGTCCAATGTAACGTTTATTGCACTCGCTGCATGGTATTCTGTATATCACCTTGGTCTTGTTTACTGTTGGTAGGCAGTCTTTAGTCTTTGATGACATTTGGTGCGATGTTGCTGTAGGTTTGTGTGCAGTCATGATTTTTATGCTTCTTAGGAACCTGAGTCATTTTTGATATATTTTTTGATGTAGGGTAGTGTTGTTAGTGTCTTCTGTTGTACCATTCCTTTGATTATGTCTTTTGATTTGTAGGCATCTGCGGGCGAAACTACTTGGGTATCCATTTGTTGATGAAAACTTTTTGTAGGTGTTCCTCTTCCGTTCCCCGGAGTCCTGGGGTGTTGCAGTGTGATGCGGCTCATTTAAATAGTGTCTTGGTGGAGTGGTTGCTATTGTAGTTAAGGATTTGGTCCGTGTGTGTAGCCTTCCTGTGTGCACTGATCCGGAATTCACCATTAGTCTCTCTACCTTTTACGTCTAAGAACAGGAGTTGTTTGTTGAATGTTTAACTTCAATAACAACCACCCCACAATACACAAACAGCTGTATCAAGATACTATCTTGGTGAGCCTCATCACACTGTAACAACCCCAGAACTCTGGAGAATGGAAGAGGAACACCTACACAAAGTTTTCACCACCAACAGATACCGGAGAAGTTTCATCTGCAGATGCCTAAAAGACAGTCAGAGGACACGATAGAACAGAAGACACTAGCAACACTTTCCTATATCAAAAAATATATCAAATGACTACCAGATGCCTAAGACGCATAAAACTATGATTGCACACAAATCTACAGCAACACTGCGCCAAATATTAT